TAAACCAGAGTCCAACAAAAGTGGCCAGTGGAATCTGAGGATGGTGGGACAGGCTGGGCAGGGAGGTGAACGTGCAGCAGGGGGGCGCGGGGGACAGGGTGGGGTGGGGGGCCGAGAGGGCACCAACTCTCAGGGCTCTGGTTGGATGTGAAACTGAGTGGGAGGCAAAGAATGAAAGTGGAGCATGGTAATCTTGGAACAAGGATGAGTCATGCTGAAAATGAGATGCTTTCCCACTGATGCTCTGAATAATACCCCTTGACTGGGAAAAGAAACCAAATGAATGCTGTGCTTGATCATGGTAGAGATAAAGAATGGCATCCCGAGCACTTAGTTGAAGACTGGGCAGCCCTCCTGGCTCTTCCACTCTTCTGGGTGACCTGCAAGCAGCCAACAAACCTCTCAGGGTCTCAGACTCCTCGTCATCAACAAAAGGAAAGTGGGGCTAAATTATCTCTGGATTCCTGGAGACCCACAATAGTCAACAATTCAGTTAGTTGAAATGTATTTTAAAAGGTTAGACAGATGTGAGTTTGCAGTGGCTTTTGGATGGTGTCTGTTAGCCCTAGGAAGCAGAAGCAGCAGTTGAGACAACCCAGACCCTGCACAAGCTGTCATAGGGGGAAATTAAATAATGGTACTAGCCCACGTGTATCAAGTGTTAGTTACTCTACTAAGCAGCTTACATACATTATCTTACTTAATTCTCACAACAGCCCTGTGAAGTAGGTCCTAATATTATCACACTACAGTGAAGACACTGAGGCATAGAGAGAGTAAGTAATCTACCCAGAAACATCGCCAGTAAATAGGAAAGCCAGAATAGACCCCAGATCTATGTCGATCCCAAACCCTTTACCACTGTATTACATACTCTCCCGTTATGCTAAGGTGCATAGAATAACTATTAAAGTCTTGTACTTTATCTTCTAATCAAAATCCAGAAAGAAACCTTAATTAAATATCTATCTGACACAAGAACCAGTTTGAAGGGGGTTCCCACTGACTAAGTCTGGGACAAATTCAGCACCAAAATTAAGTGCAATGATGAATTATAAACCACTAAAAAATAGGATTCATGAGTTGCCTGATGACAGATGATGATAGATGATAGATAGATAGATAGATAGATAGATAGATAGATAGATAGACAGATAGACAGATGATAGATGATAGATAAGTAGAATACTGAGGATTAACTGGTAATGTTGGAAAGATTGCTGGAGCTGGAAAATCATCCTTTGGCAATCATCAGAGTAAAGATGGGATTAGGCAGGAACCATCAATATGTGCTAAATCTAAGGGAGAAATGTTAATGAGACATTTGCATGGTCTTAAAGCATCTCCCCAAAGGCTGCTTATTAGTCCAAGGGAGGTAAAAAAATTAATTGCACAGTAGAGAAAATTGAACAACACCTTGATGCGTGTGAAAAATTTACATTACCGGTAAAGGGTAGATGGACATTGTGTGTCTCCAGCTGTGATACTCTCAGAAGGACAAAATGTTAATTTTGCAACATTCCAGCCAAGTATGTACAAACAAAACATCAGACAAATGCAATATGAAAATATCTTTAAAAAAAAAAGGTGAGGGAAACTGTATTCTTAAAAAATGTAAACATCACAGGAAACAAGAAAAGGCTGTGAAAATGTTCCAAATTAAAGGAAGCTAAGGTGGACAAGACAACCAAATGTAAGCCTGACCCTAGACTTGATGTTGCGTATAAGTTGAGGCGGGGATGTAGACAATGCTATGAAAGACATTGGGGAGCCTGGATGGCACAGTCGGTTAAGCAGCTGACTCTTGATTTCAGCTCAGGTCATGATCTCAGGGTTGTGAGATCGAGCCCCGCCTCAGGCTCCACGTTTAGTGCTGAGTCTGCTTGGGACTCTCTCTCCCTCTGCCCCTCCCCCTTGCACGTGGTCTCTCTCTTTCTTTCTCTCTCTCAAATAAATAAATCAATCTTAAAAAAAAAAAGACATTATTAGATTATCTGACAGCATTAGAATATGGACGGTACCAATGTAAATTAATGAAGTTGGTAAATGTACTATGGTTATGTTGAGAATATTTCTGTTTTTAGGCAATGCACATAATATTTAGGGGTGAAGAATCCTGATGTATGTAGCTTACAATCACATGGTTCAAGAGAGAAAAGAGAGAGGGGGCCAGTGCTAAAGCAAATGGGATAAAATGTTAAGAATGGGTGAATCTAGGTAAAAGGTAAATGGGGGTCCCTTGAAACTTCCTAAATTTGAAAATATGTTCAAATAAGAAGATCTTTCTTTTTTTTTTTTAAAGTCAGTCTGATATCACATTAGCAAGTGGTGGTCAGTCTGAGTTCTTAAACTGTGTGGAGGGAAAAAAAAGAAAAGGAATGACCTACATTGAGTCATGAGAATAATTGTCATCAGATGCAAGAAACTTAAGGCTGAGCTGATTCCCTGCAGTTTAGGGGTTCACCAACCAAAACAAGGAATTATGTGGGTCACCCAGAAAACAGACTCACGAGTGAACGAATATCAAATGATTCCACCCTGAGAAACTCCAGGAAAACCAACATCTCTGTATGTGTAAGGAAAAGCTTTTTAGGTATGGGCCTATAGCCCACTTACTTCAACACAAGCTACCCAGTAGAAGAATTAGACTGTTCAAGCTCATCTTCCATTTGCTGCTCCTTGAAATATGTGGGAACTAAAAGGTTCTGTGCTGGTTGGGAAAGGCAGTTGACAGGAGGAGCAAACTGCTAGCATTTACAAGGATATGATAAATGCTAGGGCTTGGGGAAACTCTAGAACGAGTAACAAATTAGTGGACAAGCTTTTGACGATGGGATTATTATTCTTGTCATGGATTTGAGTTACTTGCTAGGCCCTGAGGAGACAGAAAGATAAAAGAAATAATCCCTCTTCTCAAGAAGATTTGGGAAGAGAGAGACACACAAAGGTACACCACAGGACAGCAGGTGACAAGTATCAAATGATTGTTCTTGTAACTGTATGCTAGAATTTATAGAATAGGACAATCAGGAAAAGCTACTGTGGGCATGTAATACCAAGTAAGTGGTAGGAGTAGGCTTGCCCTTCTTCCCTCCCTTCCTTCCTCCCTCTCTCCTTCCCTTCCTTCCTTCCTTCCTTCCTTCCTTCCTTCTTTCCTTCCCTCTTTTGCTCCCCCCTCCCTCCCTCTCTTTTTCTTTCTTCTTTCTTTCTTTCTTTCTTTTCTTTTCTTTCTTTTCTTCTTTCTTTGAATAGATATTTTTTTCAATAGATAGATATTTATTCTGTAATTGCAAGGTACTGTGCTACTTAAAGAGAACAGTGAGATAAAAAATGATGCTGAGAGGAGAAAGGAAAGGCACATTTGGGGATTAACTGATGATAATAATGGCTCAAGATCCTTAATTACATCTTCAAAGGACCCCTTTCCAAATAAGGTAACATTCACAGCAGCCAGGAATTAGGATGCAGGCATATCTTCTGGGGGCCACCATCCAACCCATCACAGGCCCCTTCCATGTGCCAGGCATTGTCCTAAGCATCTTATACGTATTAACTCACCTAATTCCCAATAACCCAATAAGGTAAGTTATTATTTTGGTCCACATTGAGGAAATGGAAGCACGGAGCCATTTGCTAACTTGGAAGCATTACTTGAGATAATTTGGCTTGAGAGGTGGGCTTGTGTTGAGGAGGAGTGAGAGATAAGTTTGGATGAACCAGTTAAGGTCATGGGCAGGATGCCTTAAATACCTAGATAAAAGGCCCTATTCTGTGGGTAATGGGCAGCCACTGAGGGCTTTGAACAACATCATGTGAGCAGTGATGTATGGGAATATTGATCAGAAGGCACTGTGTTAAGTAGATTGGAGGAGGGCAGGAGTGGGAGGCCTATTAGGAGCGCTCACATAATTGCTATGAGAGATATGTAGGCCTAGACTGCAGAGCTGGCCACAGAAACAGAGGATTACTTAATAGCTCATCCTTCTTTTCATCCCAACATGTGGAGCCAGACTCCCTTTTCCATTAGACATAGCTCTGCCATCTTCCTGGGTGCCATTCCAGGAGGCAACTGGGAGAGACGACAATCTCCATTTGCCCCAGTTTAGCAGACACTGGTTTTTCCATTAAAGGACTGCTCTCAAATTGGAAGGCACCGGAGCAGTGCCTAGAAATGCAATCCCCATAATTTTGATTGCGGTCGCTTTTAAGACAATGGCACTTTGGGGACTGAAGGCTGTCTCTCTTGAGGTTAAGAGATGGTCAACTCTGACCTTATGATGGAAGAAGCCTTGAAGCCAACTTAAAGCATAAATAAAGTCAATAACAAGGACTCATGGGAATGGTCATCGATGCAGCCACCATGAAGCTAGATGTTTGCTCTCTTCCTCCAGAATCAGCAGACAGGCGGAGGGAAACATCTCTAGTCTTACCTCTCATCTACTCTTCTTGGGGACTATCACTGCTCCTGTACACCCTGAATATTAAACACCCCCTTATTCACTTTTAGTGTTTTAGGCTCCTTCTGATATTTGCTCAGGAATGCCTGATGAAACAGCATTTCCTATTGGATAATAAATGGTTTGAGTCCAAGGGACCCCCAGTCATACTCTGAGTCCTCAGCCCAACCTATTATTCAGACTTCAGGAGCCATCAATGCTAGTCAGAATATCGAAATGTTTCCAGAAGCTCTAAGGTCATTTTTTTTTTTTCTGCCACAGTGAAAGCAAAAACTGAAATGCCTCTTCACACCTGGAGTTTGATACATCTTAAGGAATGCTCTCCTACAAGGATAAGACATTTGAATCATTAAAAAGTTTTCAATACAGAAGTAACATCATCCATTACAAAATAAAATTCAACTACAACTCTAGCACATGAATATAAAATTAACAAGTAAAATTAAAACATTCTTCAGTTTGAGGAGACTATCTTAACTCCATGTAATATCATTCCGGGGTTAAAAAAATTTTTCTTTTTCCTAATACATTTGTCCTCCAAAGTGTGGTCTGGGGGCCACCTACATCGGGATCCTGCAGGAGCTTGCTGGAAATGCCAGATCTCAGGTTCCACCACAGCTCTCACTGAATGCATTGAATCAGAACCTGCAGTTTACCACGGCACCTCAGGTGAGGGTCCGTTTTTCACTGTTATTCCTTTGGAAGGCATCTCAGTTGTGACAGAAATGGAAAGACAGAAGTGGATAGAACCAGATTAACTGATGAACTGACTCATTCTACCGAATGATGTGTGAACAGGCCCCAATTCTGGAACACACCCCTAGGGCATCAGACTTTGGAGTGACCTGTTAAGGAGATGTCACTCACAAATAGGCCACCTCCCCTTGGTCCTTATAGTAATTACAAATTAAAAAGAAAATCCTAGAACCAGAAACTTTTAGAACTGAGATGAACACCAGAATCTAGAGTAGTTAGTGCACGTTAGGTTTTGAGCCTCAAACTGGGTTTGTTCCCCCCGAATTTGGGTATGAAGTTAAAAATAAACACGTTCTTGGTGCGGTTAGGGCCTCACAAGCCATGGGACCTTGAGCACATTTCTTCATATCTTGGAATCTCAGTCCACAATCTGTAGGATCCACTCGGCAAACTTCACAGAGTCGTCATGTACCTTAAGTAGGGAATGCGGAAGTGCTTTGAAACCTGTGAGAACCTAGAATGTTATCATAGGGCAGCTTTCAAGGCTGAGTCCCAGTTTCACCCAATTAATTGCATCTTGTGTGAGATAACATCACAGCAAAAGTCTGCTTGAAGTAAAGAAGATGAGCTAATTAATAAGAAAATGTCATGGTGTTTCCAACACTGCCCAGAAGGAAGAGGTGCTCGGATTCTCATGTTCAAATGCAGATGGGGAACCATGGGTTAATGTTCGGGTCCTGTTGACTGAATGCACGAATTACTAAGCTTGAGAAAGGGGCTTTACTAACATACATTCATTCAACAAACATTGACTGAGCCAGGCTGGCTAGGGATATAATAGTGAGCAAAAGCACACAGTACCCTTGCCCACAGGGAGTTCACAATCTAACCAAATAGTGACATGGATAAATATTGTGTCATTGGTCTGTGCCACAAAAGATCAGTCCAAGGAGCCAAGAGCACTTGCACTAGAGAGACTTGACCTGGTCAGAGGCGTTAGAGAAGACCTCTCTGAGGAAATGGCCCTTGAGCTGAGAGCTGAAGGGTAAGCAAGAGCTGAAGTGGGGGAAAGGGGATGGAAGAGTGTCCCAGGCAGAGGGAACAGTGTGTGCACAGGCCTTTTCACAGGAGGGAGTATGATGGTGGGCCAGTCCTGTTAGGTGGTGGCTTGAGGCTGGGGAGGGCAGCCAGGGCCAGACCATACCCAGCCCCATGCACTTGGGTTGGGTTTTTCCCAGAACACTGGGAGGCCTCGGAAGGATTGCGCTGTGGTGGTGGTGGAGGAGGATGTGTACTTTGCAGTATAACTCAGGGGCAGGAGGGGAGAGTGTGTGCAGAGACAGGCAGGAGACTTTTATAGCCTTGGAGAGAGAGTAGAAATGCTCTCCTCCACAGAAGGCCCACCTGCTGGTCTAGTTCTCTCCTCCCTGGGCAGCCTTGCTTCTGACTGGCCCTGTCCACCAACGGGGAGGCAGGCTGGGTGCAATGGGCTTTCCCTTCTAGACAGAGAAAGTGAACAGACCAGGGATCCAGTCAGCAAATTAGTCCATGTTGAATCCATGGGAATCTGTCCCCCCAGCAGGTGAAATGATAAAAACACAGTTTCTGAGTCTGCAGGTTGAAAATGCAGCCCTGGGTCCATGGGGATCCCAAATATAGGTAGCCTGAGCGGGCCCAGCTGAGAGTGTCAGACAGAGAGCAGCACCCCCCTTACTTCCTAACTCCAGCAAGAGGCCATCTCTTTCATCCACTCGCCGAAAAGATGTAGAAAGCAAGGCCCAGGGAGGTTTAATAACTTCTCCGAAGTCACATAGTAACTTTTTTTTTTTTTAAGATTTTATTTATTTATTTGAGAGAGAGAGTGAACAAGGGAAGGGGCAAAGGGAGAGGCAGAGAATCTCAAGCAGACTCCACGCTGAGCATGGAGCCTGACTCAGGGCTCAATCAGGACCCTGAATCAAGACCCTGAGATCATGACCTGAGCTGAACCAAGTCAGACACTTAACCAACTGAGCTACCCAGGTGCCCCCGAAGTCACATAGTAATTTAAAAGACCAGTTCCCTGGCCTTTCTAAAACTCATTAGGGGTGCAATATTTTCAAGATGCTCTACTGGTCAGCATCCTCTTTACAGGCAAGTAATGGAGAGAGTCATAGAAACATGCTTTTAAATTAAAAAAAAAAAAAATTGAACTTCTGTTCTTTGTACTTTAATTACAATCTCCAGCCCCTAGAGTAGAAGGGCTAAAGAAAGAACGGGCATTCCATCTAATCCTTAAAACTGACTACCTGAGCCTTCAACAGTTGCTGGTCTAATGTGACACTGCACGCAAGAAATTCACAAATGTCTTTAACGAGCCTTTCTGTATAGGTGTCACTGCTTTTACTTCTAGATTTAATTTCCAGGCATGACTGGAGTACTTTGATCCAGTTTTCAGGTTCCAGGAAAAATGAGCTTTCCTTTGATATTCACTCTCACCTGCCATTCCTTAGCTTAACCAAGTACAAAAAGCTCAGCGATTGTCCCGGGCCTCTCAATGTACATTCTACTTTACACTGTTCCTGTTTCCCCTTTGCTTCCTCATAAGGTTTCCTGCTCTGACCCTTTCTTTCATATGGTTTCCCTTACACCCCTGAACCCTTTTGTGATGTCTCTAGGCTTTATTACTGCATTGTTACTTGTTTATTCTTTTTTCTACTGCCTGTTCCCTCAGGGAGCAGCTAGAAATTCAAACCTTGGCCCTCATGTTGTTGCTAGAGATTTTACTGTATATTTGTAATAATTATTCAAGTACGTTCCAAAACAAACAAAAAAAAACCCAAGCAGGTCCATTTCCCGCATCATTTTTGCTTGAAGATTGAACATTAGAAGTGATTTACTGTCAACCAAAGTCAGATGCAATCTGGTTTTCACATGGTTTTCTTCTTCCCATGGTGCAGTCATGAGTTTTGATAACCGAGATTCTGAGGTGTGTCCATGTGTAGCAGGTTTTTTGTGAGGGTCCTCAGAAACCTACATTGGGATGGACCGTCTTCAGGCTAGCTTCCTGCGCTGGGCAGCTCCAGGTGGGAGGAGCTTGGCATTGAGAGCAGGGAGGGGTCTTTAGGGGCCTTTGAGATTGCAGTTTGTGTTACACATTTGATTTTTCATTCAAATTGGCAGTCTCTTTCCAAAAGGAGCATTATTCTCTCATCTTTAAAGTATGCTGAACAACAACAAAAAAAAGTATGCTGAGTTTAGTCAGTTTGGATACTAAGCAAATTATCGGAGAGTTCTCAAAATTTAGGAAGAAAAAGCCAAGCCATTTTACTCAACCAGGGACCACAACCTCCAGGGTTGTTGGTGAGTAATGGTATAGTCTCCCTCCATGTTAACCCACTGCTGGCTGTGTTAACACCAGAAAAGGCCTACCAGCTGACAAAGGACAAAGGACAAATGGGAGTCAAGCTACCAAAGTATTTTGACTACACAGTGCTAGGGGGTGAGGGGGAAGAAAAGTTTATTCAACTGAAAGGTTTTGCTGGTATTACTCTTTGTGGAGGGCAGGATTATAACTCCTTACAACCTGGAAAATGTAGCTCCCCCCTCCTCTCCCCCTTTACATGTGAGAATAAAGCACATTATGAAATGGCTTACACAAGAGAAAGAAAAGTCTGTACAAAATGGGTACTATTGGGTTGAATTGAACCTAAGAGCCTGTTTGTTGGTTGGTTTGTTTTTTAGAGAGAAAGAGAGAGCACAAGTGCCTGGCAGTGCAAGAGGTGGGGAGGGGAGGAGCAGAGGGCGAGAGAGAATCCTAAGTAGGCTCCACAGGGGCTGGGCCTGAGCAGGGCTTGATCTCCTGACCCTGAGATCATGACCTGAGCCGAAATCCAGCATGGGACGTTTAACTGACTGAGCCATCCCAGGTGCACCCGAGCCTGTTTTTATATGGGTCTAAATATCTTCCCATTCAGTCTGCTTAGTTATTGAAGGGATTGCTGTCCTATTTGTTGAGCACCGCTGCCTTCTACATCTCCTTATTGGTTCCTCTTTGGGCATAAATTCTCACATTTGGAGAAATCCATTGTTTAAATAAAGGGCCACAGCAGCTCCCAATAGGCGGCAGAATGGTCTTCCAACTGCCTCTTGGCCATTTCCATAGGATATCTTGACCCATAAGTGGCTCCCCAAGTTCTAGATAGAAGCGGCTGGTTGGAAGGAAGTTTGAAGCTGTGTTTGCACAGTATGATCAGTTAAATGTCAATCGTCCATACAAAGGAGGGGAGATTGTGAACTCCCAAGACCCATCTCCCCACTCCTTTGCACTGTCACTGTCCAGATTTCATTTCAAATTTAGCACATTAAAAACGGGCTATTTGCCCTTAAAATCAGCTCCTCCCTCCACCCTCTCCCCCAGCTTCCTCACTTGTTTAAAGCCATATTTTCCTTAGCAGGTTAAAACATTTGAAATATCTGTTAAATTCTCCTCCTTAGTTCTCACCCTCCCAATTCATCATTAAATCCTATCAATCCTCCTTTTCTACTGTCTTGGAAACTTTTCTCGTTTCTTTTTTATGACTGCCGAACAGAAATAGAAGATGAGGATCCAGCTCTGTAGTTTGGACAGTGAAATGAGAAACACACCACATACAAATGGGTAAAAAAATAAAAAAACAAAAATAGAAATATTTTTTAAAATGCAAAATAACATGGCTCCAAACTAGCCTTATATATAGATCCCGAGGCACTGGCTAGCACTGCTTTTGTCTTGTAGCAATCCAGAACGTGGGGGTTCTTCCTCCCATTCTGGAGCTGTGGTGAGGCCTTTGGGGTCCAGCTTAGGTTACTCTGATTCCAGCCACCCCTCCACTTTAGGAACAGGAAATCTTCACTTCCAGAGGAACTAATCTCCACTCAGAGCACAGTGTATATGTATGCACTCTAAACTCGTGTTGGCACAATTTATTGAGTATTTCATCGTAACGTAAACATTTTATATGTTTATATTTTACCTCCACCTGGCCGGAAGCTCATTCTTCTGTATTCTTAACTGCCCCTCCCCTTCCCCACAGCAACCAACACAGGGTTGAGCTCATTGTAGCCTATAAATAAAATGTTTGTTAAATCATAGAGTCTTAGAATTTTAGACTCAGAAAGAATCTTAAGAGTTCCTCTTGCCCAATCCTTTACTTTATGGATGAAGAAACAGGTCTAGAGAGATTAGTTGACTCTCCCAAAGTCACACAGCTGGCTAGTGACAAAGCAAGGACCAGAAGCCGGGTTGCTCCTGCTTGACGTCTGTACCCTACATTGTCCTTAGATAATCAGTGACAGAAATATCTGATGTTACACAAGGTCTCCTAGGGATGGTGCTGAGAGGGGTGGTCTGCTTTACTGAAACATTTTTAAAGATTCAGTTCATGCCCCTTGCAGGACCGCTCGGAAGTCTAACTCCTCAGCTCGGTGTGCAGCAGCACTCGCTTTATGAACGCGTCGGCTGCACCCCTGGTCTCTCGACAGGAGGGCGAACCCGGGAGCCCCGCACCCACCGGCTCCCCTTCTCGGCCCCTCCCTGGCTGCCGTCCGTCATACAGCGGTCGGGGTCTCTGGTCTCTTCTATTGACGCCGGCCGGTGGACGCCGCGAGAGGGAGGGTCTCAGGACCCTCGCGGGGGGGGGGGGGGTGGGTCTTGGCTTTGCGGAGAAAAAAATTCAAGAGCAAGCCATTTAGGGAAAGGGACAAAGGTGTATCTAGAAGAAAGGGGCTACTTCATAGATAAAGTAGCGGTCTCTCCTCCCAGGTGAGGAAGACCCCCCCCTTTGCCTCTAACGGTTTTTAAGTTGTTTTTTTTTAATTGGCTGACGTATAGAAAGGGGCTTACTGCTTAACTTTATCATTTACACTGAGCGGTGAGTTTTTCTGTTGTCTTAGGGTTGTGGAATTACCCACAGGGAGCAATTTTAAGAATGTCCAGCCTCTATGACTTTTACTGCCAGAGGGAGTCGGGTCTTGTGGTCTTCCATGAGTGGGATCTTGTGACTCTTTTTATGACCTGCTGACTTTTAGGTTAAGGGTCAGCCTAAATACCAAAATGGCTTTACTTTGGTCAACTTGTCTCCCGAGCCTCCCTTCACCACGTGGACTCAGCTCGGAGGATCAAAGTCTGTTTGCTGCCCGGCCCCCGGAGGTGTGCGGGGCGCCGCGAGGACCCGCACGGCCTGAGCAGCGGCCCGGCCACGCCGGGGGAGCCCGCCTGCCCCTCCCCCTCCTGCTGCACGCGGCCCGCGCCCCCTACCCTCCCCCACGACGCCCGCCGCTGCACCCGGCCGCGGCCCCCGGCCCACGCCCGGCTCCTGGAGGGAAAGGCCCCGCCCCCATCTGTTGGAGCCTCGACACCGCCCCCTCCCGCCCCGCCGAGCCTTCACCCAATAGCGAGCGCGGGTGGGCGGAGTGCGGAGGCTGTCGTGAGGGGGTTCTGGCCAATGGGGAAGCGTGCCGGGCCTGGTGGGCGGGGCGTCGGGGCCTTGTCACGCTCGGGTCCGTGTGAAAACGGGGGTTCCGAGTGCAAAGCAAAGTTTTTTTGTAAACCGTCTGCAAAGGCGGGGGGGCGAAGAAGGCGCCGGAGACCGGGCCGAGTGCAGCTGCCGTGGCCGCCGCCTTTTTAGCTCTTCAGGCGTCGGCTTCCCGGTCCGAGCCACAGCGGAGGAGACGAGCGAGGGGAAGACCTGTGCGGAGAGCCCTGCAGATGCTGGGAGCCTTCGTAGCGCGGAGCTGCCCGTCGCCCGCCCCCGCCGCCTGCCTGCTTCTGCTCCTGCTCCGGCTCTTCGTCCCCGGGCTCCGGGAGCCCCAGCGCCCCGCCGCCGCCGCCTCGGCCGCCTCGGCCTCTGCCGCCCAGCTGTGGGTGTGGGGACTGCTGGGGCTGAGCCGGGCCTCCGCGCCGGCTCTGAGCACCGACGCCTGAGGAGCTGCCGGCCCGCCGGGGACGCCCGCAGGCGCGGGGGCTCGGCGGCTT